TATGTGTTCAAAAAAAAATAGACAAACACGCAACCAAACAAACATAAAAATTTACAAACAAATACACAAACATGCATACAAACAAACATTTAAACACAAACAAATACACGCACAAACAATCATATACTATATGCATATAAACACATTAAAAAACATACAGAAACAGACATATACAAAAACATACATATACAAACGCATACAAAAATATACAAACACATACAAATGCATACAGAAACATACAAACACGGACAAGCATTAGATAATAATAAAACAGAAGACAAGCAATAAATGCAATGAAGGAAACAAAACAAAAGATGTCGTCAGGGCGATAAATCATAGGAATAAACGACACGACCTTAATTCAACTTTATCAGCCAAGTCGTCCAAATTCATCATCACCTTCTTTTTCACAATCATTTTATCATCATCGCCATTGTCATCAATGCTTTGATCTTCATCATTATCATCATCGTCGTCACCATCATCATCATCGTTGACCTCCTACTCTTTTTTTTTCTCCTCCTTTTCTTCTTCATCGTCATTGCCCTCATCATCGTCATCATCATCGTCATCATCATCGTCATCATCATCGTCATCATCATCGTCATCATCATCGTCATCATCATCGTCATCATCATCGTCATCGTCCTCATCATCATCGTTGTCGTTATTATCTATTTCGTCATCTTCATAATTTTCATCTTCATCTTTTTCATCGGTGAATTATTCATCAGCATCCATCATCTTCAACATAGTCATCATTTTATCTTCATCACCACATATCAACATTTTAATTATCATCATTACATATAGTATCATTATCATCACTATAGATATTTTATCATTACCATCATTATAGATATCTTTTTATCATTATCACCATTATAGATAGTAGCCTTATCATCGTCACAGTAAGCAGCATCATCATCAGCATAAAAAGCAGCACCCTCATTTTAAAATTCAACGTCACATCGATATTTTTATCATCATAATCATCATCTTCTTCATCATAGTCATTATCATAACCATCATCATCATCATCTCCATCATCAGAATCGTCATCATCATCATCATCACCACCATCATCATTACCAGGAGCAGCATAGTTTTTATTGACTCATTATATGGCGCGAAGCATTAGAAGATGCAACAATAAAAGTGTTGTTTGGTGAACCAGCGTTATTTGAAAAAATGTATTATATGTAAGCTGCTTTTTCTCCAAGTCTGTGTACGTGTACATGTATGTGTGTATGTGTCTTTGTGTGTGTGGTTGTGTGTATGTCTGCGTATGTTTCTCTATATTTTGTATGTTCTGTGTATGATTATTGTTCGTGTAATTGTGTACTTGATTTTGTATGTTTGCCACTTTGTATGTTTTGATACTTTTTTATAACGTTTTTTTTTATGCTGTTTTCTATCTGTCGTTTTGTATTTTTTTGTTTTCTTTGTCTTTATTGTTTTTTTAATGATGCGTTTTTGCGTATGCGTATACACAAGTTTGGCTGTATCATTGTGTGTGTGTGTGTGTGCGTATTTGTGCGTGTGTAATTGTGTGAGTGAGAGTATGCATGTTCTGTACATTTTCTTTAAAAAAAATCTTATATGTGTATGTGATGGTTTATGCTGTAACTATCCATATGTTCGTTATTTCAACATTAAACAACATCATCAACATTAAGCAACAACATAAACATTAAACAACAACATCAACATTAAACAACAACATCAACATCAAGTAACAATATCAACATTAAACAACAACATCAACATTAAGCAACAACATCAACATTAAGCAACAACATCAACATTTAGCAGCAACATCAACATTAAACAACATCAACATTAAACCATCAACAGTAAACAACAACATCAACATCAAGTAACAATATCAATATTGAACAACAATAACAACATTAAACAACAGTATCAAAATCAACAATGTATCACTTTTTTCTGTATGTATATCTTACAAACACTTTTTCCTTATTTTTGAATTGAAAGCGAGAGAGCGAATTTTTTGTTGAGTAGCATACAGGAAGGAGGCAAGCATCATGGGATGCATCGTTCAATTGTGAACCGGCACCAACTAACTAAACCAGGCCGCAGTTGGCGGTCCTTGGTTATTGCGTTATTGTTGTTTGTGTTGTTGTCTGTGTTGTTGTTTGTGTTGTTGTTGTTTGTGTTGCTGTATGTGTTGTTGTTGTCTGCGTCGCTTTTTGTGTTTGTTTTTGTTTATTTGTGTTATCGTTGTTGTTGTTTGTGTTGCTGTTTGTGTTTGTTTGGTTTGCAGTTGTTGTTTCTGTTGCTCTTTTTTCTTTTCTCTCTTTTCTTTTCCCTTTACTCTTTCTCTCTCTCTTTTTTTCTCTTTTTTCCTCACTGTCTCCATTTCTGTCTCTCTCTCTGTCTCTTTCTTTCTCCTCCATTTCTCACTCATCCAACGCTTGACAAATGATTCATAGAAAGTATTTTGTCTTACTGAAGTTTATCGAGGGAACGTCAAGTCGACACGCACATTCATACATATCTCCATTCACGCACATTCATACATATCTCCATTCACGTACACTAGCATGCACCGTACAAACACATACGTGTATATAAACGTACATATACACATACATATACAAAAACTTGCACATGTATTTTTGTATATGTGTAAATATATACACAAATACATTTACAATACATACATGCGTGTGTTTTACATACATACATTTAAGATGGGCATAGTATCTTCAAATGCAATAATATTTGCACATTCGCGTTTTGACGTGTAAATTTTGTTTTTGGGTTTTGATTGCTTTTTTTCACAACTATATATGCGTGTACGTGTATACATGCATTTGCATAACATGTCATTCATGTATTGTATCATATGTATCTCTGTATGATACACCTTCTTGTAATGCATATAAATGGTAAATGCATTATAACGTTGGTTGTTATATTTAACAAAGTACTAGGACGTCATTTTATCTTGCGGAAACAAATTATTGGGATTCAGTAAATTAATAAATTAGTAAATTCAACAGAGTTTTATATGTATAAATTTTTACCAGGTTTTTTTTTTACAAAACTTAGACACGTAAAAAAATGTGGCTATCAAACTTTAAACTGAAAAACTATGATTATTTTCAAAAAATTACAGAGGAGTTTGTAAAAATGCAGTCGTAAACTTAGGAAATTATATTTATAGTTTGAGAGATTTCCATTCGAGCAAGCAGCATTTGGGAAAATGCGTTTGGAAAATTAAAATTTAAATATATAATATCGGATATGTATATATTTGAAAATCGTTCGCGATTTTTATGAGTATATACACGCGTAGGTATGAATTTCCACATCAAAATACGCACATACATTCATACATTTATACACACATATTTCAAATCTACTGACACGCACGCACGCACACACACACACACACAAAACTCCAGTAGTGGATCTTAACAACTTTGACGGGGGATAAATTTTGAAAAATTTTCAAATTTTCAAATTTCACGATGAGCCAAAAATTTGCCAAACAAATATTTGCTTTATTTTCTGCTCATCACGCTAATTTTTGGTTGATTTTGAACTTGAAAACGATATTTTCTCCTCCAAAAACTGAGTTCTACTGACTTTTAATGAAGCAATCTCACAGCAAGGGGCCCCAAGTCCTAGATACGCCATTGTAAAATTAAGGTATACAATGGTAGTAATGGCCCCATGGTAGTACATACCCCTCGTAGTTGTTGTTGTTGTACGTTTGTATATCTGATAGTATGTTTGTATATAGGTTTGTATATTTGCAAACATGTCTCATGTTTGCAGTGTAGAAACAATACAGATGTTGTATATCAATAAAGATAAATACACACACAAATATATGTACATATTTCAAATTTTTCTAGTAGTTGTATATATGCACGCATACGCATACATATACATACGCACATCCATACACACACGTTCACAAAAATTTTGATGTACAACATGAAAGAAAAATTATTTTTTAAAATAATACACAACACGCTTCAAATATTTATCATTTTCCAGGGAGAATACAGAAATAAAAAGTATACAAAACCTCTGTAATGAAATGAAACAAAAAATCCAAGGCATAAATTATTGTTCTTGTATGTTTTTGTGTGTTTGTATATGTGTTGGCATGTTTGTTTATATGTTCGTATACATTTTAAAGTGTCTTTGTATGTTTGTATATATGATTGTATGCTTGTATTTGGTTGATTTTGAACTTGAAATTTCTATGAACTTGAAGTTTCTATGTTTGTGTATGTGTCTGTATGTTTGTATGTTTGTTGTTTATTTTTTTTATTTCTTTATATCGCACGTTTGTTTACTTGTTTTAAAGTATTTGTATTTTTTTTCATTTGCGTTTTTGTTTGTATACATGTTAAAGTGTTGTTGTTGTTGTACGTTTGTATATCTGATAGTATGTTTGTATATAGGTTTGTATATTTGCAAACATGTCTCATGTTTGCAGTGTAGAAACAATACAGATGTTGTATGCACTATTTGAAAAAAATTATGAAAACAAGCAGGAACCGTGTTAAAAAATTAATTAAAAAATTCAATTGTGAAAGAAAAAAAACAATTTAAACATGCGAAAGTTTGAGAAAAAGAAATAATTGCAAATGAGATTTGTAAAGAAACTAACAAACAATGAACTACACACACACACATACTACTGCCAGCAAAACTGATTGGAGAGAAGAAAAGTTGTGTTTGTTTTTATTGTTGTTGTATTGTTGATGTTGTTGGTACGTTGTTGGTGGTGTTGTTCTTTTAATGTTGTTGTTGGTATGTTGATGTTGTTGCTTGTCGTTAATGTTTTTTGATTTTGTTGTTGCTTGTTGACATTGTTGGTGTTGGTATTGTAGTAACCCAAGACAAATAACTCATACATGTGTCTTGTGTCTCTATATAACAATCATAAACACACACACATACACACGCATACGCTTAGAAACAAACAAACACATCCACACACACATACAATGCCCGTACCATCAATGGTGTGTTTTTTATTCAATACATTTCTATGGTTTTTCTCTGTAATTGTTTTTACCCGTATTTAAATTATTTTACTTTTTTTACTTTCAAACATTTTTTTGTTAGTTTCTTCATCTATATGTATGTACGTACGTACGTACGTACGTACGTATGTATGTATGTATGTATGTATGTATGTATGTATGTATGTATGTATGTATGTATGTATGTATGTATGTATGTATGTATGTATGTATGTATGTATGTATGTATGTATGTATGTATCTATGTATGTATGTATGTATGTGCGTATGTATGTATGTATGTATGTATGTATGTATGTATGTATGTATGTATGTATGTATTTATGTATGTATGTATGTATTTATGTATGTATGTATGTATGTATGTATCGTATCGTATCGTATCGTACGTTTGTGTGCATATATTTATATACATGGGCATTCTTATGATTAATATCGGTGTATGCCTCTTCTGTTTCTCTCCATATATGTCTCTCTGTTTTAAATTATAAGCATGCATGCATGTTAATATATTGCTAACTTAAATTTATTTTTAACAGAGAAAAAACATAGTGTTCTGGGCGTCAGTTTACATGTTTGTGTTTGTGAGTGTGTGTGTGTGTGTGTGTACGTTTGTTTGCTTGTTTGCGTATGTATTTTTGTGTGTGTATGTATGCGTGCGTGTGTTTATTTTTTTACTGAGTTTTGTGTGTTGTATTTGTACATCTGTGAGTTTATGTAATTAGGTATCTGTGTTTGTTTTAGATATATGGGTTTATCTGTTTATTTAAGATACGTGTGGTCTTGTATGTACGTATGTATATGATTTTTGGTTCATGTACCTATTGTTAAATGCCTGAATTATGCATCTATTGTTATGTGAATAAATTATGTTTTATGTATAATTATTTGCATTTACTAAACACATGTGTAAAAAATGTATTTATAGATTTCGCTAATTGCAAATGTTTAAGTTTGACTGATTACACGTTAAACAAATGCTCTTTAATGTTTTTTTTAGTAACATTTAGTAATTGTTTTTTGTTTGTGTTATCAATTAAATTATTATCTGTATATAGCAATGTATGTTTTTTGTATTAAATTTGTATTTTCCTTGTACTTTTTGTATGTTTTTGTATTTTTCTATCATTGACACCTCTAGTATATCTTACTACAATGCAATAAATAAATATATTACTTTCTTCCCAAACATATGTGCACTGAGATCCGAATGTCCTGAAAATATGAAAAACTATGCATGTTCGTTTGTTCGAAATATGTTTGTATGTTTGTTTGTATGCGTGAGTATGTGTGTTTGTATGTATTTTATATGTGTTTGTACCTATGTTTATATATATATTTGTTTGTATGTATGTTGTTACTAATGTATCTTCTGTGTCTTTGTTGTTTGTTGGTTCAAACACCGTCATGTAAATTTTCTATGCCAATGAATATGTTGTGTATGTGTAATGTTTGTAGAATATATGTACATATCTACATAAGTCTAATTATACATTTTAGTTAGCAAGTAATTTGTAATTAAGTTATTTGGAGCGATCGAGTTGAATGCAGAAGATATCTATACTTTATCAAATTTAAAATAAATAATAAATTATAACTACCTACGTCAGGGGTGGGCCAACTTTTTGCCACCAAGGTCGCTGCGGGCCTTAGTTTGCCCATACCAGCACTACGTGGAAACTGTAAGGTGTATTGATTCAAATATTTGCGTTACATTTGTTCTTTGTGAGTAATTTGGAAGAGGTTTTTAATACTGTTGCATGAATCATTAACATTGTTTTCGTCAATATCGCGTCTTTTGTTTTTATATTTGTATGTATACTATATATATATATATATATATATATATATATGTGTGTGTGTGTGTGTGTGTGTTTATAATATATATATATATATATATATATATATATATATACAAACTTGTCGTAGAAATACAAAATCAATAGTTATTAATCATTTTATTGTGATTTTCTTATTCATGGTAACGTATATTTTAAACATTTAATAGTTATTCATAATCAAATAATAATGAAAATGATTTTTACATGTAGATTTATTGTTGTTGTTGGTGGTGGTGTTATTGTTGTTTATGTTGTTGTTGTAATTGTTGTTTATGTTGTTGTTGTTGTAATTGTTGTTGTTTTTTTACCCGCCAACCTCCAAACAATAGGTTATCAAGATGGTGAGATGAATTTGTCTACATAAAAAAACTCAACATCACTGATATACATAGCATATTATAAATGATAACAGCAACTTTTGTCGATGTTTTTGTTGTTGTTGTTGCTGTTGTTGTTGTTATTGTTATTATTATTGTTGTTGTCGAAGATGTGTTGTAGCTTATTTGTTGTTGTTTAGTTGTTGTTACCATCGTCGTCATCGTTGTTGTTACATACTATTGTTGATTTGTTGATGTTGTCTCGTTATTGTTTAACGTGGTAACTGCTGTTTTGTTTTTGTTATTTAGTTCTTTGATGTTGTTGCACATCATTTTGTCATTTTTTGTTGGCTTCTTTGGCACTAAACGTTTTTTAAGTATTTGTTATTTAGTATATTGATCTATTTTTTATTTTGTCAGTGTTTATTATTTTAACGATGATGTTGTTGTTGTTGATGTAGTAGCTGTTAATTTTTTTTGTGTTGTTGTTATTGATGAAGTTGTTGTTGGTGGTTTTTATTTGCGAGCTGTTAAGATTAATGTCATGTTAATCTCGATGTATCATGTTTTAGATGATGTTGACGCTGATGTGCATGTTTCTTCCTTTTTCGTAGTGGCTTTTGATGTTTTTATTTTTTCGTTTTTATAATTATTTTAGTTGTTGTTGTTGCTGCTGCTGCTGTTGTTGTGGTTGTTATTCGTGTTGTTGCGGTTGTTGCTTTTGTTGCAATTCAGTTTTTTTCAAGTTTTTTGAGGACTCAGTGAGAACCAATTTTTTAAATCATCCGTCAAGTTAGCATTGTCTATAATGACTCTCATTGTTTTCATCATCAACAGCATCATCGTCACCACTATACCCTTTATAATTACCATCATATCATCATCATTGTTATTATTATTATTATTATCTATTAGTATTATTTTATTATGATTATTACTTTTATTTTCAATATTATTGATATTTATTTAATTATTTCACCACAGCATTTGCAACCGGTTTCTAATGAAAGCCCGTGGCTGTCGCAACAAGGACAGCAGCAGCCACATCAACTACAACAACCACATCAACCATATCAGTCACAACAACCGCAACAACCGCAAAATCAACAACTATCACAGCCACATCAACAACATAAACAACCGGACGAACAGTCAACTACGTCATTTCCGTTTCCGACCAGCTCGGCTTGCACTGTACCACCGCAAGTACGTATTTTGTATTTATTTTATCTTTGTATATATATAAAAATTTTGTATTTTTGCGTTCTGTGTATGTAGTTTGTATTTGTTGAATATGTTACAATTTTGTATTTTTGTATAGGTTTGAATATTTGTATTTTTTATATTTGCTAAGTTTTGTATGTATATAATATACATATATATATATATTGCCTTGGTTGTATGTATATGTTTGTGAGTGTTTATACGATATGTATATATATATATATGATAATGATGATGATGATGATGGTGATAATAGTGATAGTGTGGACGAGGGTGATGAGGAAGACGACGACGACGATGATGATGCTTGATGCATAATTTCAGTTTCTACGAAATCTGTGATCGCCTATTAAAATAAGAACGATGTTTTGAAATGATGACACCATGTGATGTAATGGTTTAATGGGATGCTTCGTTGTAAATGATGAAGGCCTGGTGACAGTACTGATTGTGTTCGGAGAGGTTGATGATGTTTCTGGCTTCAAAAAGGAAAAAAATGATTTTTGATCATAAAAAAAAAATATAATTTTTTTCCCTGTCCACTCTCTCAACAAAAACCACGTTTAAAACTGTCTGAATATTTCATATGGGCCATAAAATTTTACGATTATACGTAATAACGTGGTCAAAAGTTGAATAATAACAACATTAACAACAACAACAATAATAATAATAATAATAATAACAAATGAAAATAATATTATAAATAATAATAATAATAGTAATAATAGCAACACCTAAAACGGAAATGCCTGCGATATCGAATGCTTAACAATAATTACAAAGTGATGCAAGATATGACTGCTATCATATATGAGTATAAATTATGGTGACGGTGATGGTGATAATATGGTGATGATGGAATGGCGTATTTTTGATGGTGATGACGTAACAATGATGGGGATGATGATGATGATGATGATGGCAGTGGTGATGTTGGTGATGATGATGACGTAACGATGATGATGATGATGATAATAATGATGATGATGACGCTGACAGTGATGACGGTGTTGATGATAATGATGACATAACAATGATGATAATGATGTTGGTTATGATGACATTTGAAGAATGAGGATAATGGTGATGAATAGGTGAGATTGCAAATCCTAAATAGAGAAATTTTGAAATGACTTCAGACAAAACCAAAGACACTGAAAAGTATTCTCCGTCCATCCGTCTGCCAAACCGTTTCCGCAATGCCCATTCCTCTGACATCAGAAGGACCCAACCAATCAAACGCCACCAAGTGGGATGACGTCATCAATAGACAGCAGTTCGACCAATCATATTACTGCACGCTGCGCCAGCAAAACGAATTGACAGCTGCTCTTTTCTCGCAGCACTACATCAACCAAAACACAAACAACAACATCAACGACAACAACAGAAACAGTTGCAGCAACGACATCAACAACAGCAACAACAACAATTTCAGTATTTACAGCAATTTCCCGCCAAATCCGCCCCCACCTTATCAACCAAAACCCCAAACAAATCCAAAAACCGTTTCGAAGAGAAAGGCGTCAATGGTTAAATTCGACAACCCGCCAACAGTTCAACCAACAACAACCACAACAACAGCCACAACAACAGCCACAACAACTACAACAGCAACAACCACAACAACACGTCCAGCAACCTCGTCAACATCAACAACAATTCATGCTTGGTAACACTGGGTTGACAAATTTTAACACTGTACCAAAAAATTTGAATTGTTCACGGCAGCAAAAAATAGTGAAGCAGCAACAAATGCAGCCACAACCACTACAACAACCACACCAGCAACAACCACAAATGTTGCCATCTCAACAGCAGCCACTTTTGCATCATCAACAACAACATGTAAAACCTCAACAACCACAAACAAAACCACAATTTCAACAGCATTCATACATTCAACTGCAACAACAGCATTTTCAGCAACCACCGCTACAAAAACTGCCACAGCCACATCAACCGCAACAACAACCACAACAGTCACAAAAGTTGCGTTTTCAAGCACCTCAACAGATCAGTCACCATCAACCAAATTCACCACCAATCCCACAACAATTGCAACAACAACAACAGCGTCAACAACATCCACAGTTATTTCAACAGCAGCAACACATACAACAGCAGCTACAGCAGCGACAACAGCAGCCACAGCAGCGACAACAGCAGCAAAGAAATGGTGTACTGGTCACTGCGATTTTGTGATCATCATTCTTTTTATCTTTGTTCGTTATTGCAACACTTCTGTTATTATCGCCAGCTATACCATTGACAATGACCAAAAATAATCATTTTCATCTTCACCATCATCCTTATTACGTCATCGTAATCTGCGTCATGACCATCGTGACGTCATTGAACACGTCACAAGAAGACTCGCCATTTGTTAGTGCGCGCTTTCGAACGATTGCTTTATGAGTGAGCGTGTTCGAGTTGGCGAATGAAACATGCATGGAGCTATTCTTACTCGTTCTCGCTTTTTATTTGTATATTTGTATGCTTGTTTGTATATGTGAATTGTATGTAAATATGTATGTTTGACTGTATGATTTGTATCATTTTGTATGAATAATTGTTTGATTAAAAGCGTCTTTGAATCAGTGCAAGTTTAAATTTTTATATTTGTATGTGTGAGCGTTTGTATGTAAATATTTACGTTTGTATGTTTGTATTTACGTTTGAATGTTTCAACTTACTTTTGTATGCTTGTTTGTATTTGTCTATAGCATTTCATTGTTTTTTAGTTATTTTCCATTTTTTTATTGAAACGGTTCTTGTATGTTCTTTTTTTTATAGGAGCTTACAGAAATGCGTGTATATTTTTAGCCTGGTTCATGCATATATTTATGTATTTTTATTTCATTTCGGTATGTTTGTTTATGGCATTTTGTTTATACAGTTAGTTTATTGTTGTAGGGATAATGAAAGAAAAAGAGAGAGGGGAGAGAGAAAGATAAATGGAGAGATAGAGAGAAAAAAGTCTGCTTGTACTCTGGTATTTATGTACATGGGTATTTCTGTTTACACGTTTAATATAATGGTGGTTGTATTTGAAGAGAAAATACACTGGATTATTGCTAGCGTGCATGTGTTTATGTGTGAACATGTTAACGAATGTATTCGTAATTATTTCGTTAGCGTGTGTGTGTGTACAATGTGTGTGTGTTTCTGTGTGTGTTTGTGTGTGTGTGGGAGTATTATGTATGTGTTTGTTTGATTGTGTGTGTGCGCGTGTGTGGGTGTGTGTGTAATTTTCTTTTTCGTCATTGAACTTAAGGTGTAATTAATTCGGCTGACAATAAGAAATGTTTATACTCTAGAAATGTTTTTCAGAGTTTCTTGAAGATATTTTAGTTTCTCCGTTAGTTTTTGTTGCCAGTTAGTTAATTTTGCAAAATAGTAAGGCGAGCTTGATAACAGTATCTATGGAAAAATATTTATGTTTAAATTCATTTTTAAAAATTCATTTTTCAATATATATTTGGCTGTATATGTATATATAAATAGAGAGAGAGAAAAAGAAAGAAAGAGAGAATGAAAGAGGGAGAATAAGAGAGAGAGAAAGTATTTTCGATTGTATTTTGTTTGAATACCCATCTGGTATATTTACGTATTTGTATTTTGTATTTGTTTTATGTAAGGTGTATTTAATATACACCAACGTAATAATACCTTTTTTTTAATTTTGGACGGGATGAATGGATAAATAAAAAAGAAAAGGAGAAATTAAAGAAAAAAAGGTATAAAAAGGAATGAAGAAATGAAAGAAGATGAAAATGAGACAAAAAAAAATAAAAATGAGATCGGGATGAATGAAGCGAGTAGAGCAAAAAAAATTAGCGTGATATGGTTTAAACAGGGTTCACTAGCTTTCTTGATCTCCGTGCGTGTATATATGTGTGTGAGTGTGTATATGTGTGTGTGCGTGTGTTTGCGTGGTAGTTTTATGAATGGATATATAAGATTGAGTGTATATAGTAGATATATATATATATATATATATATATATATATATATATATAAGCGCCATGGATTTACATGGGTACGTCAATTTAAAAAACTTTCAAGTTTCCCCCTTTGTTGACCATTTAATTGAGATGCGAACGGACGTGGTCATTAAACGGAAATGAAACTTCTGAGAAGTTGAATTGAGTGTTTTGTAAAAAATAATTTAAGACCTAATTTGTGTAGTTGAAAATGAAAAAAGTTGGCATCATGTTCAGAGCATGATTCTTCAATAAATTTTATCCAAGTCACGGGACAAACATTTTGCTCTTGGCAAAAAGTTTTTCGATTTTGAACTGATTTTTGTTAATTTACATACATTATCAAAATTTAAATTTATTTTTTATTCGTTCATTTCATTTGTTCATAAAAAATTTGATTATTAAAATTTAGTTTAGTCACAAACTATACTTCAAGCCAGCAAAGCTTAATTTTAAATCTTCAGATATCCAATTGTTTGTCATTGATGTTAATCTGTTATTGTTGTTGTTGTTTCGATGTTAATGTTGTTGAAACTGTTGCTGTTGTCAACATTAATGTCATGGCTGTTGTGGCTACTAATAAAAGCTCGTTCAACATAAAAAGACCAAATTTTTTTACAGTTAGTTTTTGTCATTCATTGATTTAAACAAGGAATTTTTGCGGATGTAACTTTGCTAACTCATGAAACAGACACACACACACCACAGACACACACACACACGTATATATATATATATATATATATATATATATATATATATATATATATACATTTATATTCATTTTTGTACATATATAGTCCTATCAACGATTTCGTTTTGCTTATTCTTTAATATCATTAAAAACCAAATCGAAACTGACCCTTCAAAATTTTTTAAATGTCACAATAGCCAACTAGACCTTTTTACACATTTTGACCATATTTTTATTTTTTAAAATTTTCAACCTGCTGACGATACTGCTGCGATTTTCGTATAATTATAATCATGATAAAAATAATTTTATATAATTATAACTATAATAAAAATAATAATTATTATTATGATTATTATTTTGTTTTTATGAAAATGACTTTAATATCACAGCAATTTTAACATTGACAAACGTCGTTCATCTTTCAACACAAATATGTAGATAACCTTTATAATCGTCATCATCATCTTTATTATTATTATTATTATTACTATTATTATTATTATTATTATTACTGTTATGAATAATATTATATATACATATGTATTTGTGTTTTTTTATTTTTAACTTCAAAGTTTGTTTTTTAATTCTGCCATTCATTCAAACTTAATAAGTTTTTTCTAAAAGAAACTAAAAAAAAATAAATGTGGCTCTGATTTTATAAAATTACTCCACAAAAAATAACATTTTCAATAATAAAAAAAAACATTTTGTATTTATTAATTTTCAAAATTAATTTTAAATCACGATTTCAGTATTAAAAATTACGAAACTTTATTCATGTCAACATTGTTAATGATCACACTTATTTAGGTTTCCAATTAATGTTAGAATTCCATTTGATTTTTAAACTGTAATATATATATATATATATATATATATATATATATATATATATATATATATATATATATATATAATATGAAAACCT